ACTATTATGGCAAAGGTGTTTGCAAATGTTTGCTTTTGAGATGTGTTTGTGATATTTTGAATGCAGTGCTTCATTTTGCAAGAGATGTGAGGCATTTTGTATTTTGTGTGCAATTCTTGGATTTGTGTGTAAAGTTTTGTAAAAAAGAGGCAAAGTTTGTTGCTGGGGTGTTGCTAGAGTATATGGTTGATAGAGTTTGTTCTGGGTGATTACAGACATTCCCACCTGTGTTAATAACAGAAAAGCAAATAGTTTCAGTGCTTTAATATTATTGTATTTCTTTCTAATGTTAGGAAATTCAAAAGTTTTTGTAATGAGCTCACATTTATTATCAGATAACAATAGAGCATTAAATCTCCATAGTGGCACAAAGTGAGGTTGAACTGACAATTGAATGTCTACACTGAGGGAAGCATTATCAGAAATAACAATACAGCATGATATTTAACTGATGTAACTTTAGGGATAAAATTAGTAGCTATAACAAAATAATCAGTACAAGAGTGTGACTAATATACTGGGAAAAAGGAAAACAACTTTGGCCTGAGTATTATAAAACCTCAATTGCTGGCCATTAACTCTGACGCAGCGTTGGACACAGAAGGTGGAGTCAACACACAAGGATTTAAATTATCCAAAGCAGGTTTGATGACACAGTTAAGAGCAGTGGCAAAAATCAGCTTATTAGTATTCAAAGAGGGCAGAGTTTCAAACAACCTATTCATGAAATTGGGGTCATCAAAGTTGTGAATTTAGACAAATACTAATGGCTAATAATTAAAAGATGTACATACCAAGTTATATTGCGTACGGCAGTTGAAAGAATCCTGAGATTAAGTTTTTGCCCGCAAACCGAAATGAACAGTGTTGAGGTAAATTTGCAGGGATCAGTCAGTCAGGACAGTCTATTATGACACAGCTCACAACTTGGATGACCCTTATTTCATAAATAGGTTGTTTGAAACTGTATGGTATGGTTTTATAGCATTCCCCCAGTAGTATGGAGAGACCGGAGAACATTGCAGAATTATATGTGTGTACAGAGCTGAACTTGGATGAGACTGCTCTACACATCACTACAAATGACTGATTTATGCTCGAAGTAAAGAAGAAAACATGTATTAGAGCAACATTATAAGCAGTATACAGGAAGTATGCTGCTGTGAGAAGAGAATACAGAGAAGATACTGGAGGTTTAAATGCACCCAACAAAAGATTAAAAAGCAATCAAGAAATCCATCAACTAATTATTCAAATGTCCTTTATATAAAAATCTTTATATATAAAAAATAGATATTGAGACAAATTCTGTTTCCCAAGACCAAAATGTCTTTTTAAAATCTTTTCGATTGTGAGTAACCACACATAGCGCTGTTTAAATGTATAGTGTCATTTAGCGCCAGTTTAAACTCTCTATCAAATGCAATCCATTTCAGAAGTCTAAGATCCTTCCCCAGTTTTAATTGTTTACAGATGAAATACCACAATTCTAGGGTAAAATCTAGTTTGTCCAGGTATGTTTTTCAGGGTTGGAGAGTGTCTCTGTATCTTTCTATTTAGCTGTTTACTTAATATTACACCAGCAAGGAATTGGACAAAGCTGAGCAGAGTAAAAGTATTCCTGTTGATTTGAAAGACCCTCCCCAGCCACTTTTCCCTGGGTAACTGAATTGCCGATACCTTCGTCTAAGGTCCCATAGGAATAGGAATTATTCTGGTTACTAAATTGGTTTTCACAGCTCTTAATCCGTCACTAAAATCTAAAAGGTAAGTTGACCAATGCTCAGTATATTATTTTAGACTTTGAATTACATGTTCACAGTATAATGTATGCATAATTTAGACCACCTTTTTGTTCAAAATGTTTTACAGGTTTTGCTTTTCAATCAACTGCGTATTCTTGTTTAAGTTCATTCATTACACATGAGTATTTGAGTTTGCAGTTTATATCCAGCATGATACTTATATTGTTCTAAAATCAGCATCAGTTTTGTAAAAAAGTTTGTTGGGTCTACAAGATAAATCACCACATCATCTGCCAAGAGACTTATGTTCTTCTCCATTGATTTCCACACCTGGCAGGTTTGTGTCTTGTCTGATCTTTTGAACCAAAGAGAAACTGTCTCCTTCCCGTACTATTGTTGTGGTAGAGTTTGATATACTGAATTGATTATTGTTTAAATCCAAAGTTTTCTAATATTAAGAATAAAAAATTCTATGAAACTTTATCAAAGATTTGTTCTGCATCTAAGCTAATGAAGGCTGCATGTTTTTTGTTTCTTTGTATTCTTCTTATACTGCCATGTGTTTGCTGTCTCTTGACAAACACAGTTTGATCCTAATCTTTTAGGGCCCGTACCATGATGATAGCTGAACAAACTCAGGGTTACAGAAAATGTAGAGTTGACAAAACTCAGGCCTTGTTGGCACCGTGATTCTGATCAGTTTTCTTTTTCATCTCAGGCTTTGATCCTGAATTCATGAATAACTATATGGAGTGCAGTGTGACATCAGTAGCAAACAGCAGATAACGTGCCTTGAAACACAGAGAAAATGTGATCTACTTCTCGCGAGAGAGTCAGTCATTCACTTCTCTTAAAATAAAGAAAAATATCACGCAGCCATCTTGCCAATAACTTAATTGATCCTCAAGCATATCTTATAGTAGTTTTACTTGGAAAACTGATTTTTTTCCTTTTCTTCATTTAGAATGTTGTTTACTTTACAACAACTAAAAGAAGTGCGAAGGAATGTCACTCCATCAGCCTTTTTTATTCAGAGTCCAACTGCAATAAGCAAATTATCTTGTTTTTGATTTTTTATCTTGTTTCAACTTATCTTTTGATTTCAGTTTTCATTTGTTCAACTGCCAGCTGATTATTCAATATCTCTAAAGTGTTTCTCTCTTTCATTTAAATTAACATTCAGATAACCGGCACTATGGTCAGAAATATCCATGACTCCAATTTGGCAATCCTTTGTCCTATGTTTTCCTTTTATGTAAAAAAAATAAATAAATAAATAAAATAAATCTATTCTTAAATATACAGTGTGTGCCTGAGAAATGGCTGCAATGTCTTTTCTCTTAGGATGGGTATGGCTCTGTATGTCAATTAGCCCCAATTCTTTATATTTTATATTAAAAATGTATTTAAAATATTACGGAATAATTCCATTATATGTTTCCCGTTTCTTGTGAGACTGGTCATATCCAAATCATGAACTAGTAAAAAACTTAAGGGTCCTCGTCTTTCTCCAGTTTGTTCACCTGTGATGTTACAAATTGGCTAAAAAGAGAATGAGCTGATTTTGCAGCTTGGTTTCAAAATAAGTCATTTTTAGACTGAAAAGGAAATTATGACGTCTGCAACATATCAATTAAACAAAACAGTTTTATTGCATTCCTTATTTAAATTACACCAATTAAGCCAAGAGTACAACATACAAAATTTAAGATGTTTTACACAGTGTCTATATAAAAATACACATTTTTCTATTTAAGAGGTTGAACTCTGACACATTATTAAATCATTGATGCAGATGTTGATACGTTTCCATACATTTTCAGCATGGGGCATCAAACAGCTCAGCGCAACTACACCCCACCAACAAACATCATTTTCAGCAACATTATTCATACTAAGTACATGTCCGTAGTGCAGTTTTGAGTGGCTGTTAACGGGCCATGAGTCTGTTTCTGCTGCTCTGATCCACCAGCCGGTGATACTCCACTAGCTTATCTTTCAGATTCTTGTACATCTGTAGACAGAGAAGCCAGAGAACATCACAAAACCATACATGCAAAATGTCATCCTATTTTGATTTCTTAATTGCCCACTTTGAAAATTAAGATTCTTATTGAATATATTAGACTTATCTGTTGTTGAATTCCCAGTTTTGTAAAAAAAAAAAAAAAAATCAAATTTTGTTTTTTGTACTGGCAGGCTCATTATACCAATAAATCGCTGCTGGAATGTCTTTATTGTATAGAAACCCATAGAAGCTATTAAAATCCACATAAATCTGTTGAGCTGTGCCCATTTATTGTATTTTCAAAACTAGAAGTCCTGATTGCTTTAGTGCTGTAGTTTAAGCCCTGATTGCCTTGAATGTTTTTCAGTGCCTTTCCCAACAAGTTTTTTTTAAGTCTGGTCATTTTTGTCACGATAAAATCATTCAGAGCTGCAATGTGCTCTATAAATTAGGTTAAGCATAGCTCATAAATCAGTTCATTTAAATTACAACAGACCTAGAAGTAAATTAGCTCCAGGTTCTCCACAGATTTACAGTGCATTTCGAGAGAAGGGTGATGCTTGTCCAACTGCACTTCAGTCTCATATTCTGAGACTCATCATTAGAAGTTAAGAGTGATTTATTAAGGATGAAAAATTCATTTGAGAATTTTTAATGCAATTAACAATTTACATTAAGATGTAAATTGTTAATTGCATTAAAAATTCTCATATGAATTTTTCATTCAGCTGTTAAGACAGCTTCACTAATCAGACATGATTTTATTCATCTGCAAATGATGAAGTGCTTTACGTCTCATTCATTTATTAAATAAAACTCTTCAAATGTAAACCAGACGGTCTCCCTACATCACAGTCCTGTACATGGATGGGTGAACAGCTAATATTTGATAAAATGGGTGAAAAATGATCACATTCGTCATTTGCAGTGTGACGATCATGCAATAATCATGAAATAAAGATCTCAGGCATCATGACAAATGTAAGTGAAAAATGCTTTACCTTTTCATTGATCTGACTTTCACTGAGGTTTCTTAAGAGCTGATCGATCGATGTATAAGGCAGCCATACCAGGGATGCTGTAGCTGAGAGCGGCCGCTGTCAGGAAATCAAAAGACAATAATAAATACACTCAGAGTGCTGCGCAAAAGTCTTAAGCACATGAGATGTTTGACAAGTTTGCAAACATTCCTTTGCAAAGAGTGTAATAATCCAGTAACATTAGATGTCTATATCAAGCATACATAAACACACTGAGGATTGCATTTCACAAGTTTTTACTGGTTTTTATTAATGCAGGGCTTTTTTCAATCTATTCCTAAAGGGCCCAGACAAAGCACAATATTTATTTTATAAAGCATACCTGATTCAACTCAATGCCTAGTTAGCAAAGTTTTTTTTGTGCTGTATGTGAAAGGTTAATGAGATGCCTAAAATATGAGGCTCTATAGGACTCACTAGATTGGGAAACCCTGCTTAATGAATTTTAAACATACAACTTACATATACATTTATATTTCATAAAAAATAGACATACAGTTTTGAACAGTACTAAACTAAATGTGTTATTAAAGACTATGATACGACTATGATAACAAATATAGTGACTGAAGGGCACTGTAAAAAACAAACAAACAACAACCCTGCTTGTCCTCAGTTTAAATGTCCATTAAAACACACCATTCACTGCTTTGAAATATCCACTTTCCGCTGATTTTCTTTAAAGGAAAGATTGATATCAAATAGCACACCTAACTGATGACAAAGAATTGACAGAGCAGCCATCAAGTGTTAGACAGTGTTCTAGGTTATTACATGCAGAGGTTTTTGGTCCAAAAATAAATTTTTTTCAGAATTTAGCAGTAGGAAATTGCTAGTCATCCAGAGTTTCATCGGAAAAACTATATAGAGCCGAGTATCATCAGCATAACAGTGAAAGCTAACACCATGTTTCCTGATGATTTGTCCCATGGGTAACATTTAAAGTGTGAAAAGCAACGGTCCTAGCCTTGTGGTACTCCATACTGCACTTGTGATCGGTATGATATCTCATCATTCTACATTTAAGAAGGAACCCCATGTGACATTCTACATACCTACAAATTGAGTAGTAAAGTATTAATATACCCACAAACTGCAAATGCACTTTGTAAAATTTGAATAGCAAATGTATATTCCTTATTTGCAATCTTAGCAAATAACATCCTTAATGTCTACTACAGACCATAAAGTTTTCATTCATTTTGGAATGTTACTTCCAACATCTTAAATCAAATACTTATTCAAGTTGTAACAGTAGTCAGAACTACATACCTCTATACCAAAATACTGATGTCCCTTTCCAAGCAGAGCATCCACATACTCCAGCACGAGCTCAGCTGCGGACTCCAGCTGATCAAAGTTCAGATAGAGACGCAACAGTGATGCAGCATCAATTTCCTGAAAGAGAAACACAATCAATCAACAATATGTGTTATACAAACTGAGAACAGGGACAGTGTAGAAATCATGTATGTAAATGTACAAAAGGTAAAGAAAGCAAAGTAAGCTTTGCTTTTATTTACATTTTTTTTACTATGCAAACAAGCAATAAACTATTTTTCATTAGTGAATATTTCAAAACCTATTAAGAACATGTCTGCCTTATATTTACATTTACATTTTGAGAAGCACAACAGCAGAAAATCTGTTCCAAGTAAATTTGATAGGACACTGAATTGCTGTGATCATTTTACAACAAAGTGACAATGATCTGGGTCATTTTATAGAAAATTACCAAAGATTGTAAAAGCATTGATGTTGTATATACAGTTGCACTGGTCATGAACTACAAAACAGTTCACAACTTTATACAAGGCTCTTCGTCATCATAATTAAACTAAGTGAACAAAATCAATTTAAGGGGTCATGAACAGCATTTCCTTTTGATTTTATGTTTGCTGAGCTGCACAACATGTTAGGCTTTTTAAATCAAAACCAGTTGAGGTGAGAAATGAAAAGCCAGTTCTACCCTGATTTTAGCTCTGATATTAAACACTGTTTACAGGGTCATGCATCCTTCATGATTTACATCACTAGAGCCCTATGAAATCCATTTTATTTGTCCCCAAATTGTATTTATTTATTTTTTTTCAAATTCCGCTTTTTTAATTTTAATTTTTCTCGATTCCATTTTTTCCCCGTTTAAATTTTTCTGGACTCCTTTTTAATGGTTAAATAAAATTTTATTAATCAAAAAGCATGTCTAATGAAACTCTTACAATTTAACATCAATTCATTATTAGTTTAACAGAAATTACACGTTTAGGGCCCTATGAAATGTTTTATTATTTCTCACCTTATGTTTTGTTGTAACCAAATTCTGTGTTTTAGCATGTCTAGTTATTTGAATGCATAAAAACAACTTTTATTTATTCTTACAATAGCCTTATGATTTTTTCCCCCCTCAGAAATTCTGTGTTGTCTATTTTAATTTTTCTGGTTATCAAATGAAGGCATACAACATGAAATTAATTAATCTTTTAATTAATGAAAATTTAATTAAATTAAAACATGGAAGAAATATTGTGTGATTACTCCTTAAAAATAACAGTAGTATGTATATTCAACTAAATAAAAAGTAATATATTTCCGGCACAATGTTTTCAAGTTAAACTGAACTTTTATTTTGATGGGTTGCCGTGAATAGGCCTACCTTTAAATTTCTGTGTGTATATGATATGATGCTATTTTTACTCAAATCAAAGGGTAAAATTCCCAGGAACTGACTTTCAGAGCAGCTCTGGAGATGTTCATGTATTTATGTCCTCATTTAATGAGACGGCAGACGCTGAAACCAGTGTGTAGCTTCAGTGTGTGTGTAGTAAATGAAACTGTGTGTCTGCGACATTCATTCACACAGAGACATGCACGACATGCTGGATTTATATTTAAATAGTCTTTTTGCGGCTTAATATACAGATTAATATACAGATATCGTCCATATCGCGATTTGTTTTAAGAATAATGACCTATTTTTGAATAATTCATCCAAACAAATTCCGTGACATTCCACGTTAAACTGTAAATTCCGTTTTTATAACTTGATTCTGTGATTCCTTCTGCATTTTCCTCATCGCGGAAATCATAGGGACTTACATCATTTCACTAACGCACAAGTGTGCGGGTCAAAGCGGTGATGAAGTAGTAGGCACTGATCTCTGTGCAGGCAGTCTGATGTAATTATCTCTATTACGTAACATGAAGTATAAAACAAGTTGTTCGCCAGCTTCATTTAAAAAAAAAAAACCTTAATAAAAAGCAGAATAAATGCTGTTTTTGGACAAGTTTTAAGGAAAACATAATTTTTCAATTCATGACTGCAGCCTATTAGATGTAATCCTGAGAATAAAAAAAAAAAATCCACCTTGTAGGAACTGAGCAGCCAATCAGGCACTGGCACCCCATGTGACAGCAGCTTGTTGATGACACAGCGATGATATTGAGCGTTCTGTAAGGGATATTTCTCCAAATAATGAGCTAACAGCCGCCAAGCTTCATCTGTCGCGCTGTGGAGAGAAATTCAGTTTAGGAAGAGACAGAGCAGAGTTCATTGTAATGAGTATTTTAACAGACCTGGACTCTTTAGTAGTAATAACAGTTGGCAACTGATTAGCTGCAAGCCAGTTCCACACCTCCGTCTGGTCCTGATCGCCTTTATACTGCAGTTTGATACACCTACACACACAGAAAAATACGCCGTGCAGAAGTCAGAACAAAAAGCAGCCAGCTGATTTTGACTGGGCAGACACAGGAGTGATCAACTTACTTGAAGGTCAGTCCTTCAAAGACGGGTGTGAGGGATAAGTTAAAGGTCTGACATAGTGTCAAGGCTGTGTCAAAAAGTCCTGTTTGCACCAGCAGAGCCACCATCTCTTGTGAAGATGCACCTCCTGTAAGAGAAATAACACCAGGATCAAGTTAACCTTTTAACACTAGAACCACCAGTTTTAGCCTACTAATAAATGTTAAAACTTTGGATTAATTATTAATTTTTGTTTTGCAATTTTTTATCGTTTATTTTTTGCTACTGTGTTGCTATTCATTCTAGTCTGCCCATTTCCTGAAAAAAAAAAAAAATCTGATCTATGATGCAATGAATAAACAATTTTTGTGATTACTCCAAGTTTACTGGTATTGTTCTTATTCAAATTATAAACGATATAACTAAACAAATGAGTAATTATTTAGGTGAAACTGTGCGCTTGAATTTGTCGTTGCATCATACATCCTATGCAGTGCAGTGAGGTGAATTATTATTGCTGATTATAGTATATTTAGGGTATTGTAGTAATTTAAATGGTTTATCTTAAAACATTGTATTATAATATTACACCACCCAAATATGTATTTATTTTCTTCTAATTCTCGTTGCCATCGCAAGCGAGTTTATAGTCACCATTTTATGTTTACACTGCACCGCTGCTCTCGACAGACGGCACCCCAGGGTGCCACGGCACCCCGGTTGGGAAACACTGCTCTAGACATTCATTTGTGTAGATAGTGGCATAATACATTTTTTAGCTATATCAAAACAGTAGTCATGTGCATGTGTAAATTTTACCCGCTGTTCAGTTTGTGTTTGCAAGCTGAAAAAATAAATAATAGCATGAAATATAGCAGCTCATGTTAACCTGTTTCACCTTGTAAATCAATACACAAAAACATGACGTTCAGTTTCTGAAGTGTAAGGAATTTTTTATTTTTATTTTTTTTACATGATCCCATAATCACCAGAAGCCTGGATGTTGCTTTGAGATTGTGTTCATAGCTCAGGAAAGCTTAATTGTAAAAAAGTGCATTAGAAAACTCAACTGTACATATGGCAGAATATAAGAATGTCATACCAGTGATATTGATAAAGGCAACAATTTAAAATTGGACAAAAGCGTCTTCCAAAAGAAAGCATGTATCCCCATGTCATTACCTGCGATGGCGGCTGAGGAGGGGTCCTGCTGAGCCAATGTCAGTCGACTCCGAGCAAGAGCATACTCTTTCTCCAAGTCTTTCAGCTCAAGAATGTCGATCTGTTGACTTACTGTGATCACATGACAAACAACTTTGAAACGTGCAACATTTAAAAACAACAACAGTAGATTTTGCTGACATTTATAACTATATCTAAAATGCACTGATTATCAGATTAATAGGCCAATAGTTTTAAAAATCTACAAAACCCTAACCCTAACCCTGCCATTCAAAAGTTTGGGATCAGTAAGATTTGTACCCCCGGTTTCACAGACAAGGCTTAAGCTAGTCCCAGACTAAAATGCATGTTTGAGCGGTCTCAACTGAAAATATCTTGCTCTGACGTATCTTAAAATATGTAAGTGTCGTTGTAAATTAAATAAAGGCCTAGTCCTGGCTTAAGCTACGCCCCGTTTGTGAAACCGGCCTTAATGTTTTAAAGATTCTTATGCTTATTAAGGCTGCATTTGTTTGATCAAAAATACAGAAAGAAACCGTAATATTGTGAAATATTATTACAATTTAAAATAAGTTTTCTATTTTAATATACTTTTAAACAATTTCTTTCTGTGATGCAAAGCTGAATTTTCAGCATCATTACACCAGTCTTCAGTGTCACATGATCCTTCAGAAATCATTCTAATATGCTGATTATCATTAGCAATGTTGGAAACAGTTGTGCTGCTTAATATATAAAATATATATATATTTTATAACCAGTGATAATTTTTTCAGGATTCTTTGATTAATAAAAAGTTCAGAAGAACAGCATTTATTCAAATTCATTCATGCACTGACTGGTTCAAAATGATAATTTGATTGTCTTTTGGACCGACTGATTACAAGAACCAGATTCATGTGTGGCCCTGGAGCACTAAAGCAGTCATAAGTAGCACAGGTATATTTGTAGCAATAGCCAAACAATACATTGTATGTGTCAAAATGATCAATTTTTCTTTAATGCCAAAAATAATTAGGATATTAAGCAAAGATCATGTTCCATGAAGATATTTTGTAAATTTCCTACCATAAATATATCAAAACTTAATTTTTGATTAGTAATATGCATTGCTAAGAACTTCATTTGGACAACTTTAAAGGTGATTTTCTCAATATTTAGATTTTTTTGCACCCTCAGATTCCAGATTTTCAAATAGTTGAATCCTAACAAACCATACATCAATGGAAAGCTTATTTATTCAGATTTATTTTCATATGATTTATAAATCTCAATTTCAAAAAATTTACCCTCATTGACTGGTTTTGTGGTCCAGGGTCACATTATACAATGGTCATGCTATATGTTTTGCATGCAGCCAGCAAACAACACAATAGCAAAAGGTATGTGATAACCACACATTCAATTTTAATCATCTTCAATGATTGTTTGTATCAAGACTAAGGCATCAACTAGGCTAACTATTACTTTGAAAATTTTGATAATAAAATGTTAAGTGGGGGACATGTAGTAACATGTTTAATAGATAATTAAGTGTTCAGGTTCTTCACCTGTCAATAAAAATACTGCGTTCTGAATGACCAATATGACCACTAGCATACACAAATAGATAATTGATTAAGTATTAAAGTGGGAAAAACAAAGTAGTCAGTATAGTCCACACAAATTTAGAGGGTGTTTTTGGGTGTAATTACCTGGATTTGCAGCAAATTCTCCATCATAGTTCCTTTTCGGTGATGTGCCTGGTCGCTCATACTGGTCAAAAGTCAAGTCATGATATATATTAAAATACATTATAATACACAGCGGGTAAAATAAGTATTGAACACGTCACCATTTTTCTCAGTAAATATATTTGTAAAGGTGCTGTTGACTTGAATTTTTCACCAGATGTCGGTAACAACCCAAGTAATCCATACATACAAAGAAAACATAACATAAGTTCAGAATTTAAGTTATGTGAAATAAAATGGAATGACACAGGGAAAAAGTATTGAACACATGAAGAAAGGGAGGTGTAAAAAGGCATGGAAAGCCAAGACACCAGCTGAAATCTGTCAGTTAGAAAGCAATCCTGCCCCTGGTCAGTGGAAATTAATATTAGCTTCAGTCCCAACACCTACAGTACCAGGACGATGATGATGATGAAACAAGGGTGGACATTTCAGCAAGACAATGATCCCAAACACAGCCAAGGAAACTCTCGATTGGTTTCAGAGAAAGAAAGTAAAGCTGCTAGAATGGCCAGCCAATCACCTGACTTGAATCCAATAGAAAATAAGAACTACAGATCAGAGTTCATAGAAGAGGCCCACAGAACCTTCAAGATTTGAAGACTGTGTGGGAGAATGGGCTAAAGTCACACCTGTGCAATGCATGCCACTAGTTTCTCCATACAGGAGGCGTCTTGAAGCTGTCATTACCAACAAAGGCTTTTGTACGAAGTATTAAATACATTTCAGTAGTTCAATACTTTTTCCCTGTGTCATTCCATTTTATTACACATAACTTTATTTCTGAACTTATTTGTTTTGTTTTGTTTTATTTGAATGTATGGATTACACAATTAAATAAAAATACAATTTCATGTCACCAGCACCTTTACAAAAATATTTACTGAGAAAAATGGTGGCGTGTTCAATACTTATGTTACCCGCTGTATGTTACAAAATTGTGTTACAGATGTATACACACAGAGTACTGTGCAAGAGTCTTTAGATGCTTCACAAAACTTGTGCACAAAACTCATACAACTAGGGGTGTGCGATATATATCGTCTGCGATAATATTGTAATTGTTGTTTTAACGATGTGCGATTTGACATTATCGAGTATTTTGCAAAAATCATTCAAAACACCACTACAGAGTGCACACATACATTACGTGAAGTCTAGACTAGTGTGTGTGCGCATTTAGAGTGTGTTCTTTCACTGCATGATTCGGTCTATTAAAATGCATTTAGAATGATCACAAATTCAAGACATGGGGGCAGAAAATTTATATATTTATACCACGGCACTTCATATAGTTAATATGAACGAAGAGTGCCGTTTTTCTCCAAAAATCACCATGATAACAAATGTGATATTGACTTTTTACAACAGTTCAGTAAGAAGTTAATCAAGAGACTTACGTTTTAGACACCATATTGGCTGTTTTTGCTCTATTTCGCCAACAAAAATCATTCCAAACACAGCCACAGCGCTGTTTCACGTCTCTGAGCAACATGACGACGTTTCGTTCCTGAATGAAACAACCGTTTAAATGATTCGGTTCAATCGCAATGACTCACTTATTAACAGTGATTTGCTGCCACCTACTGGCGGTTTTAATTTCACATTTCGGCATTTTTCTTTTAGATTTTTTTCATGTTTTAAATAATTTCAAACATCAGTATTCAACGTTTTATGTTTAATATATCAAAACATTATTTATGCATTTGTAATTGCAGGTTAAATGCATTCATGTCTTGCATTAAACAGGGTGTAAACACATCTAAATGCCATTTCAGATGCAGCTTCTGTGTTGATTTCATTTGCTTGGTAACAGTAATTCATTAACCTGTAAAACAGGTTTCATTTGCTTGGTAATAATGTCTTATTAATCTAATCACTGATTAAATGTAAGAATTTGACTCAAAAGATAATGGACAATTTTAGAAAAAAATGGCTTTATAAAGGTAAAAATTCCCATAAAATGTAAAAATCAGTTTAAACTTATTGGAAAAGATTAATTTCTATCAGTATGAACTGACCACTACACAGAATATGAAGAATATCAAAAACTTCAGGAGTCAGCTGTCCGCGGCAGGGCTTAAGATACCAGCACAATAACACACTCAGCAAAATATAATCTAATTATCGCTATCGATTAAATCCCAGAAAATATCGAGATATTATTTTTTGTCAATATCGCACACCCCTACATACAACATACTGTTTAGATTTACTGTAGGTTAAAGAAGTTAATTGATAAAATGTATTCATGGCATTATTTTTGAAAAAACCCTTACTCATACAGGCAAACTCACAAGAGGTCAAAAAGGTGACATAGTTTGCAATATGAGCCTTGTAGACCCCCCCCCCCAGAAGAACATTTTTGAGAATTTAACGTAAATTAAGCGTTCTGGTGCAATCTGACAACAAAATAAAGGGAAAAGACCAACATATGCTTTCAAGTAAAAAAAAAAAGCACATTTATACCACAAACTTTTATAGAAATCAGGGCAGCCAATGGCCGATATATGATGCCGATTTTTTTGGCCGATATGTTTGGCTGATTTTCTTTTTTTTTCTTCTTCCCCTTCATCTCATAACAGTGAGTTTGAGTAAATGATTATTGCAGAATACTAGTAGCAGTCAAAACTAACAAAAGAGCAACAATATATAAGTGCAAATGACAAGTCTCGGTTAGCCTAACGCAGTACACGTAGCAAGGTGTATATGTACAGTATATGGTCTGTTTTGCCCTGCCATCATTAGCTGAAGCTGTGTGTGAACAAGAAGCGGCTGCAGAGTGTGAGCTGCTCCGTCTCTCACGCAGCCAGAGAGAGATTCTCCGGTGTTCCGCAACAACGCTTAGCTGTCCGCAGATGCTCCTGCCTATAAATCGGCCTAATTTGCAGCACAATCGGCCGATGCCGATTAATTTAAAAATGCCCAAAATTGGCCGACCTCTAATTTCAAATGCATAAATAATTTTATAAGATTACTGTTTTAAATATTTTTGAACACAAGTTTAAAATGTTGGGAAAAATGCAATACTTTTAAATATGAAACCAAACCACCAGTAGATGACGGTAAAGGACTGTTTTAATGAGCGAGTCATTAGTGTGTTGCTCGGAGACACAAAACAGTTCTGCTGTGGCTTTAATTGAAACTTCGTCAGCGAACTTGAGCAAAAACAGTCAATATTGTATTACAAATTGCGAACTTTGTGTCTGTTTACCTCACAATGAAGAACTTCCATGCCGACGACATGTTTACATGCGGATGTGAGCGTAAGTGTGCCGTCAAAACAGACCGGCTGTGAGATGAGGTGTGTTGGATTTGAAGCAGCACGCGCGCAGACCGATCAAACATCAAAGTACCGCAAGAGCGATTCGAACGCATGCGGAGCCATCTGCTCTCTGTAGCTCTCGCAGTGCTTTGATGTTATACAGCGATCGGTCTGCTCAGTGCTGCTTCAAGTCGAACCGAGAAAGGGACTTTGGTCGAACACACTCTGGTCTACGAGCTTGCAATCTCTCTCTCTCTCTGCCCAGACCCCCCCCCTTTTGGTATGCTTACTTTACAGACACATGCCTTCTGCACTGTGTATATAAGTCTTGGACACTTGGAACAACAATGGTGGTTATTCTGACAAGACAAGTTGCTCTGTAATGCTAGTTCTGAGAAAAGCTCTAGCATTATTAGTTTTACAGATGCCACTTGGTTTTCTTTTGATATTTTTGTATCCAATGCAATGAAATTCAGACATCTTTATGTGTGACTCACTAAAACTCATGTACACACATATTCATATGTAGGTCTACAAGTCTTTATTTTAATTCTTACTGATCTATTCTCTGAGTGAGCACTCCATATAAGGAATTAAAAATGTTTCAGATGCTTACCGCTGCTCCAGACGAAGGCTGCACAATCCAGGCGTAGTCCGGATGAACGAGACGCAGGCAGTTGAGGGCAGCTAGATAACAGTTCACCTGCTTCTGGAGACCGCGCAGAGTTCGCACCTCACGGCCCAGACGCATACCGTACTCAAACATCACTGTACCGGCTTAAACACACAAACAAATCACTGTTGGCTTAATTGCCAAATCCTGCCTGCATATAACAATTTTATTGCTCATTTGAACAATAAATCAATAATAACTATAAAACTGCAGGAGGGTTTTATTTTAGATTTTTTTAATTCAATAATTAATCCTTTCCCCAAAAAACTTGAAACATCATTGTAACGCTGACCCATCAGTTTTACCTTTTTTTTTTTTTTTATCACAAAGATTAAAGTTTTTAAATATATTTTCATATTGCAATAATTTCACATTCTATCTTTAAATTAATGTAATAACAAAGAAAGTATATTTTAAATTTTTGTTTAATGGCATCTTTTTTTGCATCACTGATACCAATACTACTTGATGTCTCTAGGAAATTGTTCTTTTTCCTCTAATATTTAACCATTGCAATTTAATTTATGTTCAACAAATAAAAAACAGATGTAATACGGATAAACAAATGATATAGCTTGGCTTATTGAATATCAGGTCCTTTTCTACGAAAGCGCTTTTTGTAAATGATATGATCACTGATCATAACCTAGATGTGTTCTGTTTGACAGAAACCTGGCTAAAACCTGATGATTACATTATTTTAAACGAGTCTACCCCCCAAGATTACTATTATAAACATGAGC